AAAACCTTGCCACGCAAACCCAACACACTGGTGATAAAGAGCTGCATATGCTGGCTGCTCATTCCAGGCTCTGCCTCTCCCCTGACAGCTCCTGATGCTGCAGGGACCCCGGGCGTGGGGGCCCCACCTCCCAACCCAGGCAGGTGTGTGTCTTCCATGCACATCTGACTGCTGCAGCATTTCTTTCTGACCCACCCCCTTCCTCCACGGACCAGCAAACATCAGTAGTTGATTCATTATTTTAAACATAAGGCAGGAACATGAGGTCCAGTCATTAACCCCACCACTTATTTCAGTTTTGTGAATCTATCTTTAAGTCCATTTATTCAGACATTTCCTGATCCACTTGTCTTTACATAGACTTTTGGTGGATTACAGACCTCCTCTTTGCTTGTCAGTCAGACCTCATGCTGTCCTGCTTCAGTTGCATGGCAGCTTCATTTCTGAGACCCGCACGTAACGCCCAAGCTTCAGGCACTTTCCAAAGCACAGTGAAAGTCTGGGAATAAATTAGGCAGAAAATAGTTTTGCAACCGTTACTTGAAAAACAGTGATTCACATTCTTCCCTTCCTGTCTGCTGCACTAGGATGGCCACTCCAGTTCCCAGTAAACCAAAAAAGGATATACAAGTATTAATTGCACACAGTCACTAACTAAATGGCATTTCCACAGAGCCCAGTCATTAGAAAGTGACTAATGCTTTTGATAAATCACATAACTAAACTTCTGGAATATGTTGCTGATCAGAGCTACTCCAGCACAATTGTAGGTTCTACTCTTGCAATCAGTCTAAACCCTTGTTTTTTCAACCATCCAAACCCAAGTTAACAAGCAGGTAGCTGCCTACCTTGTCAGCAGCATTCAGTGCCGCCTGGCAAGGCACTGCCTGTAAACAGAGCAAAAGAGATAGAGATGGTTTCATCCACTGCTGAATTTTAGTGACTTTTGGAGGTTGGTCCATCAGGACCAGGAGCAGGTACCACTATCAGGAAGCAGCTTGTCAAACACAATTGAACTAACACTTTATAATGTGCCCATAAATAATGCCTACATATAGCAAACCCCTCCACATCTCGGCTGGATTTGGAGAGCTGCGGTACCCTGGGGTAAGGACAGTAGCTGCATCTACTGATGCACAATCCAACCTGTGTCGCTGCATCGGGGCAGGCTACAGCAGGACCCACAGCCAGTAGCTAAGGGATGCTGCAGGACCAGGTGATGCTCGTTCAGGCAGGGTTACAGACAAAGCATCACATTTATGCACAAGGTTTAGATCAGATGGCGCAAGGGTAGTTTATACGCAGCCACATCTGTTTATCCTGAGTCGTGTTTGACTTCGAAATACTTGATCTGTGATCTCTTCCCAAACTGGGCTCCCTCCCTTTGCTACTGCACTGCCATCGGCTGCAGTAAAGGTCTGCAAATTACAGCTGCTGGAGCTGGAATCTGGTGTGGGACTACCTAGCAAGTGCAAAAGAGAAACAAAGGAGGGGGGCTGCTTAGCTGAGACCCAGCTGGTGGTGGAGTGCCTCTATCTGCAAAACCACGTGTTACCAGGGGACAGCGCATGCTGTGAAACTGTCCAGTTAACTGCCTGTAACTTCTCACCTCTGTTTTGGTGAAATTGCTGCAAACATCTGAAGTCTTACAGAGATTTTTTTTTTTCCTAGCAATGTACCACAATTACAACGTGGGAGTTAAAACATATTCCCTCAACCATCAGCCCTGCAAATTGTATTTCTGGTTCTATTTTTCTTTTTCCTAGTAGCTCAGGAGGAAGAAAAGGCGATAAAAAAGACAAAAAGGAGAGGAGGAAGCAAAACCAGATTGCACTGAAAAGCTTCAGTAGCAAAGGCTGTGCTTTGCTGGGGTTGAAGGGTTTGGGTTTTACCACTCAGTTTGTCACACCATTTCTCAGAAGAGCAAGATGGCCAGGCATGCGGTTTCCTACTGCCAAGAGCACCCTAAGTTGCTATTTCAGTTGAGGGATCCTAGAGGGAGTCCATGCTGCAAACCACTAGTCTCTTCATGGAAGCCACAAGCACCAGCACGCCCTTGCTGGCCCCCGTGCCCCAGGAAGCCACGTCACTCATCCATTCCTCCACTCTTCCTCTCCCACCCCCAGTCGTCAGTGCCTGTCTGTGGTGGAGGCTTTAGGTTGGGTTTTTTTTTAGGTGCACAATATCTGGGTGCTGCGTACACTTAGGATGCGAGAGATAACGAGCCTCTTTGGTCACTGAGTTTCATTCTGTAGCACAGCCAGTACAGAAAACAAGTCAGACGGCAGGGAAACCACTCCAAAATTGGCTACTCAAGGGTGCAGAGATCCAGCAGAAGCATGGGAAACTGCCTACCAAAAATAAGGTAGGTTCAATACCATTTTATATTTAATTACTAAACAAGAGGGCTAAGAGAGTGATTTTATTAAAAATAGGAACAAATGATACCTGCAATGAATTAGCCTTAGGAGACCATGTAAGGCACTGCAAGGAGTCTCTTGATTAAACAAAGGTAATTTAGCAAGCAAATTAAGTTGAACGGTATAAATCTTATTATGTCGAAGAGTATTGCCTCAGGATATTTTTTAGGGAGGCGGCTCCCAGCACTGAGCCTGCTGAAGCTGGGAAGGGTGTTACAGGTAAGGAACACAAGGACCAGAGACTACTTGTCATCTGCTCTGAGTTTCCAGGCACAAAAACTACGCTTAGAGGTTCACCTGGCCCCTCTGGCCATTGCTCTGCCAGGTATCCATGTCACAGCCTTGCTTCTGCTAATACTGTCCTAGCTCTTGCTCTGTGCCTTTGTACTGCCAAGGGATGGTCATCAGGGCTCTCCACTAACACCTCTCCTTATAGAAGCAACCAAAAAAACCACTGTGTGGACAGATGATTTCCTTGAAGGCCCACAGAAAGGAAAAATCCCCTTCTCTTTCCCATTGTCTTCTCGGTAGATCAAAGAAAAAGTCAGGCAACCTCTGAATACTTTACCCTGACTGCTTAGTTGGTACTAAGGAGCTCAGATGAGGCACTCGATTGCCAAAATTAAGTGTTCTGCTTGTTTCCAAAGAGATTGCATCCCTCACCTTCCTGCAGGTCTGTGGTCAGAGGTCTAAGGCATGACCACTTTACCTGGCCTTGAGGGAAAGGGTAAAAGTCCCCAAAGCATGAAACCTTGCTCTCAGACGCAGTTTGAGTCAAGGCCAACAAAATCCATGTGAAGCCGGTGGACACCTGCTGCTTTTGAAAACATTTCTGACTGCTTTCAGAAACAGGAATCAGGACACCATCAGTAGATATTCCTAAAGCAATTTTTTCCCCGCTAGCTGTTGACAGAGCTGTGAAGCCCATATTGCCCATCCAAGGGGAGGGGAGGAAGGTCCACTGCTGTAAAAGGCGGCACCAGCATGGAACCGTGCTGCAGCCTGTGCCCATGCAGCTCCACACCCTGCTTTCCTCACTTTCGAGAGCTCTTCTGTGACAGCCCAGCACCAGGAGAGGTAACACAGGGAGAGCGTTAACTAGCTGCCCTTGCAGGACAGAGAGCAACTGCAACCCATTTTGCTCCATCTCCCATTGATTAGCAGAGAGAGCTCACCGTGAGTTTTGCGTAGCACATCACTCCTCAGTCATAGCCACCTCATTGCTGATAAAACTGGGTCTTTCTGAAAAATCACAGACCTTGCAAAAGTTCAGAGGGATGGCATAATGACGAGGGGGGGTTTTTGGCTTTTCTTTTTTTTTTTTTTTTCTTTTTCCAAAAACCTGTCATTCCTGTGCAGTGACTCAGCACTGCGGTAAAGCTCTGGCACACTGCGGAGGTCCAGTCCCGGCCACCGCTGCTCACCAGGCAGCGTGAGAGGCAGAGACTGAGGATCAGCTAGGAAGGGCTCCTCTGCTCCACAGCACAGGGCAGGCTCGTGGTCAGGCTAAAAGAAAAGCTCAGGTTGCAGCATGAGAGTTTGTACGTATCTCATAGCAGTCAGCCCATCCACGCCAACCTGATCCTGCATTCCTGAAGGCGCTTGGTACTGCTGCAGGATCAGATCCACAGCGATTGCGCTAAGGTTCCCCCAAAGCGCTCCTGTTTCTTGTCTTAGACACCAGCCATGTAGCCACCTCCAAAAATCCTCACAAAGCATTTTGTTCTGCATTCTCAGCTTATATTGTTATAAACTCAAATTCCTCATGCAGCCACAGCATCCAGCTATCAGTGTTGCTCCTGAGTAGCTTTAACTAGATCGGGGC